CAACGCTCTAAATCAAAAGACGCAAAAAATAAGCAATTCAAAATATGGAAAATGTGCCCCGTTGCCCATGAGCAGTGCACGTGTGAAACCAGGGGTGGATTTTTTTGTTTTTTATTGGGGTTGCACAGCCTTGAAAGGGCGCCCAAAGCGGTTCCGAGGGGCGCAATAGTCCGGAAGTGGGCGCCATCAGGTACGGTCGTAATCTTGGCGTTGGGGGGGGGGGGGGCGAATTGGCAAAGGGGCCCCTGTAGACCCTCGCTGGGGGGCGGTGTGTTAGCTTAACCCGCGTACCGCGGAGGGGGCGAATATCCGCCCCCCCCCCCTCCCCCTGAAGTTTTTGTAAGTAGCGGAAAACTTCTGAAACCAGTATGAGACCCTTATACAAGCCCGGCGTAAGATCATTTAAGGCCAGTATTGAGATTGACCCTGATAAACCGGGTGAGACCCACTGAACTCTAATATATACTGGAAGGGGCATTGGTGGCTTGTTTTTGTCCATCGATTTCCGCCATGTTGTGTATACCAGATATATAAATTGCATGTACGGTAGCAGAGGCGCAGTTTAGTGAGAGGTACACTTCTCAAAAGTGCTGCTGCTTCATGCTTGCAGTTTGATTGCAGTGATCACCTTTTCAAGACTTTGGTATACACAACATGGCCGAAATCGTTAGACATTCGGGCCCATATACGGCTAAGGCGAGTGCCTCCCCTTGGTGAGACCTCGCACAGCAGTATGGGTCTTTGAACTCCAACGTGGGTCTTACGAGACCTGCCTGAGCCATCAGAGGCCAGTGCGGGCCCGGGGTCATCAAAGGCCAGTGCGGGGTCGTCAAAGGCCAGTTCGGAACCTCTGAGGTGGTGTGTGCCCTTGAGGCCAGCGTTGGTCCTTGAGAGGTCAATGTGGGACCCCTTGACTGGTATGGGCCCTAAGAGACATGTGTGGTGCCAATGCGACCCAAAATAGACACAACTAACGACATGGGGCTCTCAGAGACAAGCAGCGGCCCTTAAAAACCTGCACGGGCCAAACAGATCGACAAGGGCCCTCCGAGATCGGCAGAGAATAAGAAGATAGCATGAGGCGCCTATGATGGGCAGGCCTGGGCTCTCAAAGACCTAAATGGAACTATCAGAGACCAGGGACCCTTGGCAGCAGACATGGGCCCTCAGAAACCGATGTGACCCCGATATGGTAATAGACCTTAATGCCGGCCCGCTGCGACGAGATAACGGCCCTCAAATTCCGAAATTCCGACATGGGGACCAACCAGAGACTGACAGGGAACATTGGAGGACGGTATGAAACGCCAAAAGTTCTTCCTTGAACCCCAGAGACTAAAGATGGGACTCTCAGAGCCTGGTGCGGGGCCCTCTGAGGCCTGTTTTGGGCCACCAGGGTCCGGTTCGGTCCATCAGATGCCGGTTATGGCCCTCAAAAGCCGATTTGGGACCCTGAGTGGCCACTGGCCAGTACTGGCCCTCTAAAACCAGTTGGTCATCAGAGGCCAGCCCAATGTGATCCCTTACAGGCCAGTGTGGAGCTCTCGGAGGTCAATGTGGGCCCTCAGAGCCCAATGCGAGGCACCCAAAGTTCAATCTTGAGCCCCCAGCGACCGGAGTGGGTTCATCAGAGGCTAGTGTGGGTCCCTCAGAGGAGCCCGATTCGGGGCCCTCAGAGGTCGGTGTAGGGCCCTCAAAGGCCAGTATTGGCCCTCAAAGGCCTGTATGGGGCCCCCAGGCCCGATGTGGGCCCTCAGGGACCAGACTAACCTGGCACCCCAGAGACCATAATAGGGCCATCAGTGTAGGTGTAGAGACCCTATAGACCGACTGGGGCCCATTGAGGCCAGTTTGGGGCCCTCAGAGTCCAGTGTGGGGCCTGTTATAAGCGACAGTAGGGCTCCCGCTTGCATTGTGTCTCGAACAAGACTGGTCCACATTCCAACCGCGCCAGCTGACCCCAGCCGTCGGTCCATGCGCCGGCGGGCAAGTCATCGCAGAGGCGGCTCCAGGGAGACAATCGAGGAGCACACTACCACAGGGCCCCTAAAGACCGTCATGGGTCCTCAGAGGCCGGCATAGGGCCCTCAGAGGCACCCAGGGGACAAGGGCCAGCCTTGGGTGTCAGTGACAGAAATGGGGTTATCAGCAGCCGGTGTGAGACATTTACAGGCCGGTTTGGGGCCCTCAGAGGCCAGTTTGGGACCCTTAGAAGCCAGTTTAGGGCCCTCTGGGCTCTGAGACCAGTACAGGGCCTTCAAAGGTCAGTTTGGAATCATCAGAGGCCGACGTGGGTCCTCAGAGGCCAGTGTGATTTCTACAGGCCAACGTGGAACCCTCAGAGGTCAGTATGGGGCCCTAAAAGACCGAACAGAGCGTCCTCAAAAACCAGGATGGGCCCTCAGAGGCCAATGTTGGTCCTAAGAGACCGGCATCGGGCCTTCAGAAGCCAGTACGGGCCCTCAGAAGTGCCCAAGGGTTAGCCTTTGTCCGCCAGAGACAGAAATTGGGCCATCCGAAGCCACGGTGTTGGGCCCTAGGAGCATGCAGTTTGGGCCGTCAGAGACCAGTTTGGACCCTCAAAAGACCAGATTGGGTCCGTACCGGCAGTGTGAGGCCCTTAGCGACCAGTACAGAGCCTTCAAAGGGCAGTTTGGAACCATCAGAGGCCGACGTGGGCCCTCACATGCCGGTGTGGTATCTTACAGGCCAGCGTGGAGCCCTCAGAGGTCAGTGTGGGGCCCTAAAAGACCAGCATGGGTCGGTGTTGGACCCCAGAGGTCAGCATAGGGCCCTCAGAGGCCGATGTGAACCCTTCGAGACCGGCATCGGGCCTTCAGAAGTCAGTACGGGCCCTCGGGGACACCCAAAGGCCAGTCTTGGGCCCCCAGAAAAAGAAATGAGACCATTAGAGGCGTGGACCCCCAGAGACCAGTTTGAGAGCCCTCTTGACCAGTACAGGGCCCTCAAAGGCCAGTTTGAGGCCCTCAGAGGTCGATGCGGGCTCTAAGTGACCGGCACCCAAAGGTCAGTCCTGAACCCCAGAGACAGAAATGAGGCCATCAAGAGATCAGTGTGGGGCCCTCAAAGGCCGGTTGGGGGTCTCCTGATGCCGCTTTAGGGCCCTCAGGGGCCAGTGGAGGGCCCTGAGAGGTCGATGTGGGCCCTCATCGGTCAAGGTGGGCCCTTGAAGGCCACTGAAGCGCCCTCAGAAGTCAGGATACTCAAAGACCGGTATGGGGGCTGTTACATAATACCTGGCGTTGGTTTCTTGAGCATCGTGACAATCGGGTAAGAGCCAGGGCCCCTACGCCCATCGGGGCCCATCGGTTGTTTAAGGGGGCAAATTATATGATGGCCCCTGATTTGTCTTTGGGGGGCCATGGCCCTGATGCCCCCCTGCGACCTCCACTGGGCACCACCCCCACCCACCACTGAGCGGTGAGCGGCGCACCAGGAATCGAAATCCACGATTTTTTTTACTGGTCATTTTGCATGTCCGACAGCTCTAAACGGCCTTGTGACAGCTCAAGCTCTTGAGAGGAGGGTAGTACCTACAATAGAGGGGGCGGCGATGGCATTCGCTCTTGAGGCGGCAGCGCCTACACTTAGAGGGGGCGGCACCTACATTTTATGGGCAGCACCCTAACCTAACTTGAGGGGCGGCACCCACGCGTGGGGGGGGGGGGGCGGCCGCCGGCATCTATCTACATGTGAGGGAAAGGCACCTTCATTTCAAGGGGTGGCACCTACATTTAGGGGTCTGGGTGTGGCACCTACATTTGAGGGGCTGCACTACAACTAGGCCTTAGGGGGCGGCAACTACACCCTAGAGGGTGCCATCTACATTCGAAGGGACGGCACCTACATTTTATGGGATGACTGATGACACCTATGCATAAGTGGCCGGGGCCAACATTTGAGGGGGCGGCGCGGCACCTTCATTCGAGGGGGCGGCACCTGCATTCGAGGAGGGCCGGCACCTACATTCGAGGGGGCGGCACTAACATTTGAGGGGGCGGCACCTGCATTCGAGGAGGGCCGGCACCTACATTCGAGGGGCGGCACTAACATTTGAGGGGGGCGGCACCTACATTCGAGGAGGGCTGGTATCTACATTCGAGGGGGCGGCACTAACATTTGAGGGGGCGGCACCTACATTCGAGGAGGGCCGGCACTAACATTTGAGGGGCGGCATCTACATTCGAGGGGGCAGCACTAACATTTGAGGGGGCGGCACCTGCATTCGAGGAGGGCCGGCACCTACATTCGAGGGGGCGGCACTAACATTTGAGGGGACGGCAGGTCTACATTCGAGGAGGGCCGGCATCTACATTCGAGGGGGCGGCACTAACATTTGAGGGGGCGGCACTTACATTCGAGGGGGCGGCACCTACATTCGAGGGGCGGCATTTAGGTACATTTGAGGGGCGGCACCAACATTCGAGGGGGTGGCGCCTACATTCGAGGGGATTGCGCCTACATTTAATGGGCGGCGCCTACATTCGAGGGGGCGGCACCTACATTCGAGGGGGCGGCACTTACATTTGAGAGACGGCGCCTACATTCGAGGGGGCGGCACCTACATTTGAGGTCTGAGGAGGCGGCAACTACACTAGATAGTTGAGGGGTGACTATTGCCTACATGATGGGTAGGGCTCTTTTGAAAGATGGTGCCAAGTCAACGGGTGGCATAGAGTTTTGGGATGGCTCAGGGTTATGAGAGCAGCACCATTCGAGTCGCCCGTCGATTCATTTCAGTTGTAAAGTTGGGGTTGCACAAACCGATGTTGGGGTTGCACAATTCAAAGTTGGGGTTGCACGTGCAACCCCAACTTAATATAAAAATCCACCCCTGTGTGAAACAACAGATAACGTCTGGCATGCCTACCTGCATTGACCGCCAGTGGCATCTAGCTTTTCTTATAAGCGCTGTTTTGCTCTAGCTCACACCCCTGTGCATCAAAGTCCCCACTGACCTCCGCATCTCTGCTCCTCAGGCTCGACCACTGCTCAGTTCCGCGCCTTCCCCGGAGGCAGAAAGGCCTCCGAGGACTTTGACTGTCCCGAGGACTTTGGCTACTACGCCCATCCCACCGACTGCTCCAAGTATTATGTCTGCGTGTTCGGAGGTGCCCTGGAGGAAGTCTGCACTCCGGGACTCGTCTACAGGTCAGTTCCGATAAAAGCTTGCGCCCTTAGCTCGCTGATAAGTCGCTGTGTAAAGAGTTGAGTATGTCAAAACTGAATATTAGCAAATATGGAATTGGGACCGTAAACTATTTAGGCAGTTCATTACTGTCTAAATAGATTATTGCATGGAATTCTAGCAGTTCTGCAAGAAGTATGTCTAACACCGAAGCATCTTTGCGATTCTTGATGGCAACACACTGCCCCTTCTGATGACGTCACCCTTCCCTACCGATGACATCACTCTTTCCTCAGTGACGAGCTGCTGACCTGTGACTGGCCGAGAAACGTGCAGACCTGCGATCCGACAACGAACACGCCACGACCGCGCTTCACCACCGTGAAGATCACGGATCCGCGCACAAGCGCGCGGCGCACCACCGAGCCCTTGACGGCACCGACAGAGGCGACTGTACCGGTGGCGCGTGGCCGCTCCGCCGCCTCCCGCCGCCGCCAGCCCAGCAGGTATGGCTCGCTTCTGTCCACAAGTGTGCAGCTGGTGACGGTGTTGTGTTTTAATGCGGCTGAAGTTTGGAGGGTTAATTCTAGTTATTTGTGGAACGTCACAAACACATTTCGAAGAATGAATTTTCAAAATGAATTGTCGGGTTCCTCAGCCTTTAAAGAATTATCTTTTTAGGTCTTGTTTTACCGAAAACCCCTCAACGAATAAAAAGGCATATTGATTGTTTTCAGGAGAAATAGATGCATAACGCATTGCGTATATTGTCATTGGCATACATGCTAAGCCCAAGTAAGGAAACTTCCTTCTTTCAAGCAATAGCTATCAGTTATTCACAATTTGCAGAGTGCCGTGCTCTTTCAGCAGAGATGACACTGTTACACATCTCCTTTTCACCGAGACTGGTCCTAATCTCCACCCTACACAAATGATCGTCATTCCAGCCGTCTCGCGAACTCGCACCCTGTGATTCGAGAGCTCAGCGGACCACCACTACGGACCGCACAACTGCTGACCCCTGACCCTCTGACCGTGACCCCTGACCTGGCCGCAGGCGACGGCCGGTGCCCAACAGTCTGGCAGAGACGACACGCGCCTCAGCCTCGACCCGGCGAGGTCCGGTGCGGCCCAGGCTCAGCTCCAGCTCCAGCTCCAGCAGCTCCAGCTCCAGCACCGGTCCGTCCATCGCCGACCGGCTGAGACTGCTGGATAACCTGGACCAGAGCCCGGCCGACCGCGACCTCGGCTTCGAGGGCGACAACAACGTGAGTCCGGCGACACGGAACGCAGGGTGGGGGCTGCTGGTATGGCACAGGGGAAGTAGAAGGGTCTTACAGAGTGGATGGTGCGGTAGATTTGGGGACCAGCAAATCACCATTAGCGGTTAGATTGCTTCCAAGACGGAAAAGTACGCAGTGAGGTCAACGGTAAAGCACGAAATACTACATATAGGCACTCAGTTTCACAGTCGTGCAATGTTTTCCTGCTGAAGAAATGTTTGCGTGACGTTGAAACAGATCTTAAAAATAAATTGAAGACATACCACCGAGGCTGAACAAAAGACAATACCTCTCCGGTCTCCGCATCTGTTTGGCTGCCAGTGGTTTCCTGTGAGAAAGCGGAAGCACCTCGATGCAATGTATCAATCTTGCATCACGTTCGGGAGCCAGTAGTGCCCACTTACACTTGGCCAGCCATGCGTCCATCCACCTGAATTTCCCGGAAGCGTGACGTGGGAAATGACCAAGCAAACAACTGACCAATGCTTCACTACGAAACTACCGTGTAAGGGACCTTCAGAACTATTTGTGTTCAACTGGCGGAAGCATTAGAGCCAAACGGAAGCATTTCTAAGAAATAAAAACTCAGAATAAATCCGCTTTTCACGTTCAACAAATATCCCGTCGCGGGGAAGACGGCCATTCAGGCGGAGAGATTCGTGGGAGGCGCCAAGGCCGCGACGACGGCGCTTCTCAGCGGATGATTCTCAGCACTTCTATCGTCTCTTCAAACGCCCACCAAACCTTCCCAAATGCAGCCGGCATTGTCGGCAGCAGCCGCTCCGTTTGGGCGTTTGCTGGCTGGTCAATAGCGGCACGAGGGACCTTGGTGCGCCGGTGACCTCGGGTTATACTTTGGTTCCTGGCCTCGCCACTTCGCGGACGCTAAGGCTATATCGTACAGATGCAAATGTGATATCTGACAGATTCAGGGCATATAGAATGTAGTGGAAGCATGGGGATTTGGATGACCCTGCTGGCTGGTACCCTTGTTATATTTCAAGTGAAATGGGGATACTAGGATAAGGAACATTGAATGAAGCTTCCGATCGTGATAATTTCAAGTCGCAGTTTGGTGCCGTGCAAATTCAAGGCTCGGGTTTGAGATGCAGATTGCGAGTCGCCTTACCAATGTCCGGATGACCTATTTAGTTGATGCTATGCCAACCATCATGAGAGGCCGCGACAGACAATAACCCATGCGTCGTATCCGCTTACGTCGTTCCACGCCAGGCGCGTATAAACTTACACATATCGGGCCTGGCCTTGTCGGGCCCAACCCGACGGTGCAGACAGGCGGACAATCGGTGCAGGGGTGGCGGCCGTGACAACTGGACCAGGGCCACCGGCTGGCGACCTGCCAGCTGCACCAATTAGTCACCTGTGTGGGCGCCGGTCGCCGAGCAATGTCCATTTTCCGCTGGTCGTCAGACAATATCCCATATCCGCTGGTCGCGGAGCAAGTTCCCCATCCGCTGATCGACGATCAGGGTGGCTGGCTGTCCCGTAACATCCCCTGGTCGCCAACGATATGTTTCTCCACCGCAGTCGCCGAGCAAGATGCACAGGTTGATGCCGGCTGCCTGTCGCGTCGTGCAGTGTGCTGGTCGGTGTGGCTGTCGTCCAACCTGTTGGCGCAATGCTGTTGCCACTGCTGGGTGACCAGCATCGTCCGCTGTGTTCGTATCCTTGTTCACTGCTCCCTTTCCGTTAGACGTCTGCAAAATATGTGTTCGATATAATCCATGTTGTAGATTAAGTTCAATGGCAATCTTTGGAATTACATTGCACAATGGCGAACATTGTTAGAGCTCGGTACACAAACACATTCTCGCCATTGTTTGGTTTTTCCTCTCCAGCTGGCATGACATAGCCAGCAGCAAAAAGTGTGACCGAGCACACCTTAGGCTGCACCGCTGACTTTGGAGGTCATGTCCCGCTGCAGAGCTATCCACCACTGGGAGTCGGCGCTCTGTCAAGTTCAAACGTCTCCGTCTTTCCTTGCTGGCACATTTGAAAGCCCAAAAAAAGGAACAAGGACTTTGCTCTTGCACCTTGAATTCTGTTCTTGCGCGCTACAAAACGCAGATATGTATACGACAGGTAGGGGAGACCCGGGAGGTATGGGCCGGTTTTGTGAAAAGGCAATTTTCTTCCAATGGGAAGTGGCTAGACCCGGTTTTTCACTCTGTATACGTGAAATTGCCTTTCGCCTGCAAAGTGTGCCTGATATTAGGCATCTGGGATCAACTATTTTGTCTCGAGATAACTTTCAATAAATCATGCGCTTTTTCGATCCATCAAAATACACCGGGAGGTATCGGCCATGGCCCGGGAGGTATGGGCCGGTGCCATTTTTCATATTCTTTTCTCGATAATGAGAACAATACTCGTAGCTGGTATCTACCGTGATCTCTCTTAGAGCCCAGGACCCGCATAAGCGGCCAACAGCTTTCTTAATGGGGGTCATGCGGGCACATATGTTTTTTGGTAAACTCAATCATGCTCCATGAAATAAGGTAAATGATATTTTTCTGTTGGAATGAAATTTGTACACTCAAAACTTTTTTACTACCTCCTGGAGAGTTCATTTTCATCAAACCCGCAAGATAATAGTATATTGAAAGGGTAACTCGCTGCTACCATTATGTGCATAGTAACGGTACGTGGTTAATATGAACTTATTCGCCAGCGAAGAGTATTATTACCATGTAAATATCAATATTACTCTCGCGATCCAGAACATCACGAAAACTATTTCCTCCTGGGTATCGTGACTCGGGTACAGATAGTCGTTTCATGCGTGGATCTTGTTTACCCTCGTGAAGATGATATTTGAAATGGAAACAATCAGCCAATCAGAAACGAGATCGAAGTTTGCGGTTTGAAGGCCGCGCGCATCTGTCAGTTTTCGGCCGTTGGTCTCCGAGAGCGGATGTGAGCAGTGTCGGTGCCGCGCGGCGTGGCCTTTGGTGATTGTGCTTGTGTGTTGTTCATCGCCTATAGAGCCTCTGTGGACATTTTATTGTAAGTACCGATGTGCTAGAGCATTGCGTGCCGTTGAGTGGTGCTAATTTGACCTGGTTAACAGGACCCCGTGCACGGCCACGTGGCATAGTGTTGTGAGTACGTACATTAATTTTGTTGTGATGCTACAAGTTTATGCATTTTGTTGGTGACTTTGAAAAACCTTGCACTGTAGTGATCCAGTCTCATTATCTCACGCAGACGGGCGACCACCCAGGAACGCCGTCGCTCACTTCAAATATTGTGCGCTCTGCCTAATCCAATATGAGGGCGCTGAATGTCTTGTATTCATATATTCAAATTGCATTCAAGTTGTATCGTGGTGTTTATTTACCGCTTGTGCATTGCTGAACGGCGAACGCTTTGTATAAATTTGTATGAATAAGTGAAGAGTCTCACAATGTTCATGGTTGGTGTGCCCCTCGTATTGTTTGTATGGAAGCCAAATATACCTACCTACATTGTTGCTCTTGAAACATTTTTTTTTAGTTGGTGAGCTCCGGTTAACAGAAGCTTCGTGAAGCTTCTGAAGGAAGCGTCTGTGGGTCTGTTACCATCCTCTGGGGGGTTTACACTAAAGGAAAGAGTAAACATTACCATGTGACAAAGGGTAGGCCATAAGAACATACTCTCTGTAGGAGGGTAAAGCACAGAGTAGATGATGCGTTACTCCCTAAAAAAGGGTTCCGTTAAAGATTTACCCTTTCAAAGAGTGTAACCCAAAAAATGTTACACTCTAGACAAGAGTAAATCAAAAGAGTTTACCATTCAGAAGATGGTAAAAAACGTCTGTGTGTCATGTTACCCCTCCCTGGCGAGTTTACTCTTCATGAAAGAGTAAAATTTACCATCTGGAAGGTGGTAAAAAACGTCTGTGTGTCAAGCTACCATGCTATGGCGGGTTTACCCTTCAGGAAATGGTAAAAAAGTTTTCAGTGTAGTTAAATTTTTGACCTTGCGCGACAAAAATAAAAGCTATTGAAGAGGACATTCAATGAAAGCATCATTTTATTGATTTAGGATCAATGGGGGAGGGTGGCCCGAACCTCCCGGTTTAGACGCCAGAATGTGCGTAGCATCTCAGCTCATAAACTTGCAAGAAAGCTTCAAATTGTCTATCCAGTCTTAATTTGCATGCGTTAAAGGTAGTGTGCCAGCTTTCTTGGACCGTATGGAGTTAATGGCCCAGATAAGGAGAACCGGATTTTTAGAACTTATCCATACCTTCAAAACTCATGGAAACGTCTTAAATTCTTCAAATTTTGAGTACCCCAGTGCGAAATTCGCCCGGACGGGTTGTCGGTCGTACCCCAACCACATTTCACACCACTATGAACAATAAATGCACACACTGAAATCGCTATTACCGATATGCTCATCCAATCAAGTTTCGATAAACCCGTTCATCATCATCTCCTGCGGTTTCGAACACGCCTGTTAGGTGGCTTTTGATGCTCGTCGAGGTCGAAATTTCCAAATACGCGTGGTGCGTCGGGCCGCGCGCTCTGACTTCGGCCAAGAAAAATGCGTCAGCTGATCATTGTCATTTCTGCCACTTGCGTGTGGTGAAATGGGGTCATAACTTATAAGACGGCTTTTTCATATCAATTATTTTACATAAAATCATATTTCAAACCATAAATAATGTTCGACAGCCAAATAAAAGAAACAATACCAATACGGGCTTACAGTTTAAGGCTCGACATTGTGTTGTCTACGATTAGACAGCTGATAACTCATTCCCGTACGTCGTATGGTCGTAACACTATAATGACCTTTGCTTATTGTCACAAGTGCGCCGCATTCGCGATTGTTGCCCGACGCCTGTTTGCAGGTGAGCCCACTACAGTTGTTATACATATCTAAAAACCGAAAAACTTTTAGGCGAAAAAGGCACTATTCCACGCCCATTTTTGATTTTTTTTGCGATATTAGGTAAAAACAGAAGCTTCTTATCCTAGGAAAAATAAAATGGGAAATCTTTCAAAGGTGGCACACTACCTTTAAACTTATATTACCGATTGTGTGACCTCATAAAGTGAGCCTGGTTCAAATTTATCACGAATTTTCTGTATGTACCGTATTTTACTCGAAGATGGCAAAAACGCTCTATCACCGCTCATTGCCAAAGAAGACTGAGGAAAATTTTGGAAATCACGTGGGTTGTATAACGGAATGGCTGCTACCAGTTCACGCGGTCAAATATGTGTAAAAATACGCAACACTTCTTCAAAACTGCGATGGCCCATACCTCCAGGGCCCAATCTTATAAACGCCGTGAAATGGATATGGCAGCACTCTAAGGCTGGATATATAGTACGCAATCTTATAAAACTCTGTAAAATCGAAAACACGGCACGCTCCCTACAGCATTGGTAGCCGCCGGTTTTGAGGATGCCCTAGCATGCTAACCGTGAGCAGCTGTGCACATCTCAAAACACCGACAATCATCAGCTGTTTGCGGTTTCAGCGGCGTCCATTTCACGCCAGAATTTGTGGCGTACTTTGACGAGCTTCTCAGACAGTTTAATTCATTTAAGATAAATTCAATGTTTTTATGATAAAAGTATGCAATATTTTACATTATGATATTTTTAAGATTAAAACACCCTTCACATATTAACTCATGGTTTATTATAATGATGCTTATTATAGGTACAGACAACGATCAATTTCAAAATATGTATTTTCAGGAACTAAATACACACTAAAACACATAAAAACGAGTGTTCATCGTTATATGGATTTATTTTTCAAATTAAAAGGGGATTTTTAAGAGGATTTTAGCACCAGTAACCATCATAGATTTTCGGCAGCCACTGCATTATAGAATCGGTATGGGTCTTTAGCCTATTCTCACGTCTCACGTATGACACAAATAACGGGCACTTCATGGCTCCTGATTAGATATTTAAATTAATGATGATATACCTTAGTTTGTCAAAAAAATGCTAATTCCTACTCACTATTCGTATCTCCTCACTTTCTGTCTGGCACAGTTACGGATCAATGTGTTGTTTCTCTTCCTGCATCTCGATCTGACTTCTGAGCCGAGTATTTTTCTTGATATGCTTTGATATGTAGACTGAGTTCTTCAATCTTTTGAGGAATTGCTTTTTAGCTTTAGGTTAGGTAACAGGTACCTATGCTTGAATAAGAAGGAAAATAAGCTGCAACTTGACCTAATTCAGTTCATGTACGTAGTCTTCGAATTTTAGTAGTTTATCTTCAAGAAGGAAAATGTCAAGAGCTTATGACAAGAAGGAAAATAACCTATATCTTGAATTGATCCAGAATTAATGTACGTATCCTGATGCTCAAATTGTAGGAGCTTCATTGTCAACGGCATTACTTAAATTACTGAAGCAGTAGCCAAGCTATAATTAAATGACTATTTAAATAATTTTATAACAAATTTATTACAATGCCTTAACAGCAAATAGATACAAATGATAAGTGGAAGAAACACTTCATTCACTCGAATTTCTGAGCGCGAGAATGCCCTCGCTGAAATTTATTTGGTCGGCAATCCACTTTTCAGGAGAATTCTTCAAGCATGTTTGTGTTTTCCATAGTTTGCTATCACGTTTTTCATAAATAACTTATTCATTACACATATGTGTGTCTCTAAAAGAAATAAATGCCCCATAAAAATTAAAACACATAACTTTTGCTGTTCGCAAACAGTACGCATAATTTCCAATAGCGACGGCGACAAGGCATTGACCAATCACGTTGCGTGTTTCCTGCTGGCGTTGATTTGTACTGTGGGCAAAATGGCGTGAATAGAATTACCATACTATTCTCTTTATAAGATTGCGTGAATAGGGTGCCGTAAATAGAGTGGGGTGGAATGATAGTACGCCATTTGGTAGCACAACCTTTATAAGATTGGGCCCAGGGGGCCCATACCTCCCGGGTCTCCCCTATATAGGTAAGTCACGTTCGCCAGGGCGTCACATCAGTCACTGACATGTTCCCAGTTTGGTTCGCATATATCCGGCACCTTTTGATGATGTCTTTTGATGAACACCGATACGCACACAGCTTAGAGAATAGCTGTCTGTCATTGTCAGTCATTGTCAGTCAAAAATAGGCATCGCAACGATCAGAAATATCACGTCATGCAGCTCGATTATTACTTGAGCTTTGCGCTATATTGTTTTAGCTGGACGATAACTTTTTATAGAAAACCGCTACCGCTCTTTCCGTCTATAGCTCTCTCGGTCACCCACACCTGACCTGACCTGACCTGACCTGACCTGCACTATCTGACCGGCAGAAAATTGTGACTCGTCGCCAGCACAAGCTGCTCAGTCCGAGCTCGAGCAGCGGCCGCGGACGCTTCCAAGAGGAGCCGGCCGTCCAGAGCGTGCAGTGAGTATCAACGTCTGTAGACAATGCTAGCCGTGCCGTGGTGGTTCACACATTTAGCCAGTATGTCAGGCCATCCACTGGTGTTACCATGGGGTACTGGGGTTGACCGCTCGAGTGTCATCCGGCTGGGCGTAATTTGTGATACACTCTTGATTTTCCGATCAGTGGAGCATCTTATCGGGCCTGCTAATCAACAACGTGTCGTTAAGTGGTTGACTCAGTGAAAGGTCGACTGAGAGCACTGCTTTTTGATCGTATCAAAACGTCTCAATGGCTATTGGTGGTGAGGCTCAAGTGGTCGCCTGATTATAGACTTGGAGAGACTGACACATTAGAGCTTGCAATCTAAACACTAACATAGTAAAGTGAGTTAGCCCACAACCATTGAGATATGTTACCAATTGCTAAATATTGGTGAGAAGCTGATTGATATTCATCAGCGTCATGTAAAAATTGCCTTCATGACCTTAACACTCAAGTCATAACAAGCTGCAACTAACACTAAAATAGACTTGCTGGCTGCGTTTTGAATCAAACGCTAATGCATTCATTGAAGATGACCCTGCATGCAGCCGCTAATCAGGGCGCCATTGCGAAAAGCCGATTCGTTACAGAACGCTCCAAAGATCATTCAGCCGCTGATAAATAGGAGACCATGCACAAACTATCAAACATACCGACTCGAATATTCACGATTCTTTCGCCATCGGTAGCAGAATCGTCTCGTTAATTTTCGACTCATCCTCGGGTACCATCGCAATGAACCGAGTCGAATCTCTAGCAATGGGCTCTCCCGGTCCCACCCCATCCCTCCTGTGCTCTGATGGTCGCGCAGGCACGTCTTACCTGTCCCCGCTCCGAGCCCCCCCCCCCTCCCCAACCCCCCCGGACGATGACGGCTCACGTCCACGGGTGTCGCGCATCCGGTGTACGACGGCCTCGGTTTTTACGAGCGACCTTGCGACGCGACGGACCCAAGAGTCTCGCACGCGCTAGTCTGGTTATGAGCGGCAGACTCACAAACATACAGAGACGTGTATAGGCTGACAGGCAGTCGCGAGAAGACGCGGACAGCCGGACAATGCCGGCAAGTAGACAAACAGACAGAGAAACGGAAAAGTGGATAGTTTGACGAACCCTAGCTTTAAAATGGTTATGAGCGGCCTCGGACATTCAGCCCTTCCCTGACGGTTGACATTGGCCTCTTTAGCCACGGGCGCTAGCCCAATGCTGGACCCGACGGCCGCACATTGCGGGAGGCGCTAAACCGTCACTAACTTCAAGTGAAAGGCTGCCAATGCAGATTTGCTGATGCTGTGATGCATGCGTGTCGCTGGTCCCCCATGCACCCATGCACTTTTATGTCCTAAACTGTCCAAGGTTGGTCAATTGTTTGTAGTTAGGTTATAACATACTCTTCCGCTACAGGTACATTCCCATTACCCTTCTCCCTGTCACTAGCTCATTAAAACAATTGACACTCGATCATACAAAGCGGAATCAATAGACCACAGCGGCGGCGACCGCCACTGTCGGTGCCTACATACAAGCCTGTAATTGAATAGCCGCGGTAGCGCAGTGAAACAGAAATGTACCGAAGTGATGGGTAAAAAGCTTGGAAACGACGCACAAAGTTAGATGTGGGTACCTTTGCTGAGTGGATGATATAACCGATGGTTATTGACCATCACCCATTCATCAAATGTAGCCTAGCATTGAAGAAAGACCAAATTGTGACTCAAAAGCTACACAATCCGTTTCTCTTACGAGTAGGGTAAGAAAATATTGTTTCTTTATCCATGATGACAATTCAAAAATTTACTTTATGTCGTTAGGCGGCATGGGCGGACATCGATAGCAGCGCCTCTATCGGTCACTAGGGAAAGCTGGGCTGTAGGCGACGATATACCGGCTGAGTTGTCACACGTTGAATAGGTTTATAGCCATCCGTCTTGTGAAAAAGTTGAACTTTTGCCTTTAATATTTCTACAGGCAATTTTAGAAGTGTCTTCACATGGATTACAAAACCGTTTAGGTTATTGTATTCACTTCAAGCCTTCCCTATTGTTCTTGATGATGCGGGAACTATTTCTAATTAGTGTTTCTAGCTTAGTAAAAGAACATACTGTGCAAACGATGAAAAAAGCATAAATGGAAGATTTTAAATGCAATTTTCTCTAACAATTAATGGTAAATTCTCTACATATCAAGGAAAAGGTGCATGCTATTTGATAATTTAAAGTTCTTGGGGCCAGGTGTTTTCTTCTTTTCTTACGTCGCCCCAATGGCCGCGAATACACTTGTGATAACGCCTATCGTAAAAAAAAAACACAAATATTAATAACCAAATGAAAGAGATTTGCGTTTGTTTCTTTTAAAAACGCCAGAATGCTCCTATATATAAGGAACGGCCCGAAATAAGTAAATAAATTATTTGGTACGAGCATGCTTGTTACAGCCAATTTGTCTCAATGCCAATCATCTAACCATCCATCCTTCCTCGTGGCGTGCTAAATTGGGTGCAGCTGGGGGCCGTTCTCATCTGCAGAGGGGGTTCCGGAACCGCAGAGGGGGCGTGGTCACCCTGCGGTGAGCACGATCCGCCCGGTGCAGGCGGGGGTCCCACGGCGGGTGGGGTCTCACGCCCGACCCTGAGAGGGGCGGGCCGGGCAGGGCCGGGCAGGGGCGGCGGCTGATTTACGGCGTTCTCACGAAGTCTCCCTTCCCACACCGCCGCCGGGCAGGGACGGGCGAGGTCGGACTATTTAGGAGCAGCCGGATGATACCTGCACACGGCCGGAGAGACGACAGAATGAAGGCCAAGCTGCAATAGAGGCGTAGCTTGATAGATACACTTCCCGTCAGCACCTGCGCTAACTGTAACTCAGACCTTGATTCATGATTGATTAGTCTAGATACCTAACCCTCAGTTTAACCCTATTAGTGGCAGGGGGGGGGGGTTGTTTTTATCCACCTCTCAGGTTTTTCGGGAATATCTCCGAAACCGCTGAAGCTACGATGCTGAAATTTTCTGACTTTTCCTAAAACTAAATTGGGCACATTCCCTGAAAATTTCAAGTTCATAACTTTACCAGGGGCGGCTCCAGAGCACTGGGAATTGGGGGGTCCTATTCGTGAAGCGAGTCATTTGGGCGAAGATCACGATGCTGCACCAGTTTTACGAACAGTGAATGAAAGGTATCATGTGATAGCATATACAGTTATTGTGCATCCTCTTTTGACACGTTTTTGCTATAATAGGCGGATCCAGGCGTCCAAAAAGGGGGGTTATGTTTTACCTCCCAACATAGGTGCCCTGACACCGCCTATGCATGACCAATACAATTGTAGTCGTTCTCTCATAAGAAAATTGTAACATAACAAGACCATTACCACCCTTTTTAGAAACAGCACCAACAAAAACCTTATTTACTATACTTTTTGTGTACCCCCAATCTCAATGATCTGTACCCGCCTATGATTTTTGAAAATGCATATTTTTAGGATCCATGTGAATTCCTGGTTCATTCTCTATCGATCGGCAAAAGTTGCGTTAAGATTGGTTCAGAAACCTGGCCGTGATAAACAGTCTAAAATGTATCTGCAATTTGCCCGTTTTTACCCCCTTTACCCCCCCCCCCCCTATTGACATTTTTTTTTTTTTTAGAAATGTAGATCACGTTGAGCGAAATCGAATGCCGTTTGAATTTTGAAAATCGGCCCGTTAGATCTCGAGATATCAAGGGGGGGGGTCGTAAACAGCCCCCCCCCCCGCTGCCACTAATAGGGGTAGCCAGGAGCCTGCCACTAATAGGGTTAAGTGGCCTGTATGACACTAATGCTTGCGTCCATAAATTGCTAATTACTTGCAATGAATGTTAAAGTAACGGTACTTTGTCCTATCTTGATTCAAGTTTAACACAGGCATTACCTACACTTACCATAGGTGAAGCATCTCTGATTATGGACGGTCACTTTAAGAGTCTAGACGACAATAAGACATGCTTAGTTCCTTTTTTGTTTATTAGCTTTTGTTGGTAGCCGGTTGACAGCGCTGGCCTATTTGATGGTTGAGTTGTGGTAAAAAGTTAGGTGTAGGTAGGTATGAGTTTCTTGTGGCCGTCTGGTCACCGATGTGTAGGATTCACGGACTCTGACCTTGAGACATGAGGTTACTCACATTACCGGCCAGTGGCTCTGGATGGCCTTCAAATGGAGTCGACGCACCTCTAGTAATGGAGCCTGGTCCGAACCGCATCAGTAATTTTACGTCAAACTATGCCGTGGTCTTGCCAGCCACTATGTCCTGACTTAGAGACACCTAGTGTTAGCGAAATCGCTGAACACCGAATAGATGTCGCCTTGAACGGTTCCTCGGCTGCGGAACCATTGATAGTGGCTTTCACCGAGCGTATTTAGCAGCCCATTAAGATAATCAATTACGATTACGTGATTACCGGCGTGCTGCGAAATGTTGCGGTAACGTGATTTTAACCGGATAAATGTTAGGTTTGTCACATTAGAAAGTTTTAATATCTTATGTTCATCGACAGTTTGATATAGTTATAGGTAAGCTGGCGCTAGGAAGGCAGCGGAAGGCATGCAGAAGTCCCTTCCAGCCTAATTCGAATGCTTAAACTGCTTTTCAGCAGATCATTATGATCTGGTCTCATGCCAACCCACCCACCCTTCTCTCCTCTCTCTCTCTCCGCAGTGACCGCGACGCTCTCTCCAAGGGCACGGACGCACCGGTGCGTCTGGCCACCCTCTCGTCGTTCTCGTTCGGCGACACGGGCACCCGTTTCCCTCCGCGCGCGCCCTCATCGCCGTCGACGTTCGTCTCGTCGACGCGTCGGCCGGTGTTCCCCTCCTCATCGGAGCCGACGACCCGTCGGACGGTGGAGGTCACGTCGACGCCAACGGCGCCCACCGAGCCCGCCTACGTGGCCTACGTGAACGACACCGTCTACGACGTCTACTACATCTACGACGACGATGATCTGGTGTATGACGACTACGACGTCGCGTCGTCCACCACTGAGGAGTCTGCCAATGCGGTGGACACAACGACGCGGAGAACGGTAAGTGGACGAAGTGTCTGTCTGTCGGCCGGTCTGTCGTGGAGTGACCGGGGAGTTTTACCGGGATATTGGGAGGAAACAGTGGCGACCGTATTGCGGCCAGAAAAAATGTGGTCCACAACGTGCTGGCCTAAATGTATCGAATTTTTAACAATCTTAGATCTGGAAGCTGGATATCAGACAGTGATAGTGTGCACAGATCAAAGGTGGTTCGATCGTTTGCAGATACGATGGCGATGAGAACTGAGTCGTTCGATTTGGACTGCGAGTTTCCGTCTCAGCTGGGATGTTTGTAGCCTCTCTAGGGCTGCTGTCTGTCTGACCTTCTGCTTTCTCTGTTTTTGTTGTTGCTTTTTTTTTTTTTTTGTTTCTTGACGGTGATTGGTGTTTTCATTTCAGACGGTGGCCGAGCCTACCAGCCGCCCAACAGCTCCCGCCACCCGACGGTAGGTGCCCAGTGGACAGTGGACAGTGGACAGTGGACAGTGGACAGTGGACAGTGGACAGTGGACAGTGGACAGTGGACAGTGGACATTAGACAGTGGACAGTAGACGGTAGACAGTAAACAGTATGACAGTAGAGAATGCGGACACACTCCTGGGAGCGTGGTGGCGCCCAGTGCCTATACTGGCGCCGCGGCACACCCTCTGAGACCCAACCTGGCTGACCTTCACCCCTCTGATGCCGTGTTTGCTTGTAGGACAGCGTCAGGCTTTTAAATCGGCCAGATGTCTATTGGCTCACGTCAATTTATGAAAGGTAGTTTATTAGAGGCGGTTCAAACTGCGTCAGTCCTCTCAAAATATTAAGAATTCAGAAAAACAGGATAGTTTAGAAGAATAAGAATGCCATATCTCACGAAAGTCCCTGGAAAATTTGGCGAAATTATGAAATACACAATATTAATGAGCACGTAAATATATATGGTTCAGGCATATCATTACACAGCATAAGTACATGCCGTGATGAGCCCAGAGCTGAAAACAGTAGACATACGCATTACGCAGGTTGCTGAGATTCAAAATTGTATTCCGAATGTGTTCATTTTATTATGCATAATTATCCGCATTCTTTCATCAGACTGTATGCCATGTGTATAAGCACCTCCTAATTTATTTGCTCTCCAGCTCCTAAACATTCATCACCTAGCGCGACTCCGTTAAAAATAGGCTGGCTCTGGCCATGGAATCCAATAACTCTTGGCTACAGGATGGGCTTGTCGCGCTGTTTTGACTCCCATCCTCACGTAAACATCTATTATCCTGCACAGGCGGGTGCTCTTAGTTAGCTGTTAGTTAGCGTGCTGTCTGTTATATCTGATAAGCGCCGACCGGCCTGTCCCAACTCCGCATACCTGTGTGACGCCATCCCGGCTGTCCGTGTCTGTGTGTTTCCAACCGCGGGGGCTACTTTTAGCGTGGCTCGAGTGCGGCCCAGACAGCGCGCGGACGTTGGCAGAGCTGGGGCCGTCTCCACCAATCGGCGTCGGCTGCGACGTCCGCCAGCGCGCTCAGCCACCAGAGAACAGCTCAGGTAGCGGCGGCGGAGCGCGACGGTACAGAAGGCTCACTAAGGTGCTGGTGTGCCGGGCCCACAGCACTCGCAGTCGAAAATAGCCAGCCGCGAACCCACCCGCACTTTGTAATGGGTTCACGGTCTGAAGCACATCCGCCTGCCACAGTGCACAGCCACGCTTGTGCACACTTCATGGTCAACAGTCATGGATAGGCACTTCTGACTCTCAGGGTGAGGTGCCAATAGGTACGCATCACTCGTAAATTTTAGGATGCCACACTTCCCACCCTCTATCACTTTCCAGTTATTCACGGTCATTTGTCAGAAACCAATCAGATTTTGACCGATCTGCATGCTGCATGCAAGATGGTGCGCGTGTTCATTCTAAATTCGCGCATTTATTCCGATGATATTGGGATGCATCAGGCCGCCAATTAGTTCCCGTTGAAGCACAAGTTTGAAGTGTATCGTATACCCAGTCAGATAAAAGAAAAGTTTTTTTTTGCAAGCAGCGCCCAACATTTGCTTATCTGCCATCGGATTAATTTTATCATTTAACTGACACTGTATGGAAATGGTGTCATGACTATGGTCCAGGATAACATCATGGTCTTACAGGTGCATAATTTCGGTGTTTGAAATAATTTACTAATACGATAAACACTGTTTGTTTACGCTCAATTCTTATCCTTACCTTTATTAATGACATAAATGTTTGTCTGCTGCCGTGTGCTCGTCCAGACCTGTGTGTTTGTCCCGTGGCTCGTTTTGACAGGACACAGTCCGTGGTCTCTGTTTGTGTCTGTCTGTCTGTCCGTCTGCCTGGTCGTCGGCCTGTGCTCGGTTACGGGACGTCCCACTGAGGGGTCCGTGCATGCGCCTGCCTTTCTAGCGGCTGGCTGTCGGCTGATCGTCCGGCCAGTCGGCTGCGCCCTTCGCTGGTGCCTCGGGAACAGGACGAACGGAGCACGGAGGCAGCGGAACCCACCACCACCACTACCACTACTACTACCACTACTACTACCACTACCACTACAGCCAGCACTACCACCACCTCAACCACAACCACCACCACCGAAAGACCAGTCTTCGCACTGCGAAACATCGTCCGGCCAAGGTCAGTGGCAGTGACCTCCTGACATCCCCAGACAGTGACCTTACGTCACTCGTATAGGCCAACCGTCAGCCGTTCAAAGTAAAGACAGTTCTTGCTTGTAATCCATTTTTTCAGACTAAGGATTTACACGGACAGATCCAAATGCAATGGTTTTGGGTACCTATATTGGTTTATTTGGTGACAGAACAACAGCACTAACGGGAAACTGCAGGGATAAAAGATTTGCTTCGCATGTGTGAGGAAAATTGGGTGTAGGTCTGATGAAACTGGACTGGATTGGAAACTTTATTGAGTGGGACAGCATAACGCTGGATTCGATTCTACTAACTTCCTCAATGGCCAATCCATTTTCACCTGTGTTCATTCATCAGTAGAACGATTTCCCTGTGTTAGTCCTCTTTTGACCACTGATATTTTCTCCTTTCAGTGCGACAACGCTCGGGAAGACGGAGCCGTCTGAGCTCACTTCCTCCCGTGGCTCCACTCTCAGCTCCACCCGATCCTCCACCCTCGGTTCCACCCGATCCTCCACCCTCGGCTCCACGCGGCCGTCCAGGCCCTTCTCCACGCTGGGTTCGACTCGCTCCTCCACGCTGGGCTCCACGCGTTCCTCCACGCTGGGCTCCACGCGCTCCTCCAGCCGGATCGCCTTCCCGTCCACGTTTGTGCCCAACTCTGGCCGTGGCAAGGAGGAAAAGGACACCACTGAGACCACTGAGAAGCCGACCACTTCCCGAGGTAGGCAGACCTTCGTGCGGCCGAGCGCCTCGGCGGCACCTGTGACCAGCAGTCGACGCACCCCCAGCACCGGTCTCAAGTCCATCGAGTCGCCCAGCACTCCGCGACGCACCTCCAGGTGAGCCGATGCGACCAGAGCGGGAGGAGGAAACAGTCGAGTGTTTACGCACAATTTATGTCAGCAGCTCGACAGGGCTTTACCGTGGCGTGGCTAAGGATTTACCGTGACTAAGAATTTAGGACTTCGACGTGAATGAGCAAATGGTCATGCGATAGGTGGCGAGCCAAACTTTTATTTGATGCTTGCTTATTCCTTTGTAATTAAAAACGACTTGTTTTTACAGCGTAAAAACAAGTCGTGTTAAAAAACAAGTGTTTCATCTAAGCCACATTATTAATGTAAAATGGGCAAGGCGATGTGTCTCTGCTTTCGTTACGTCATGCTACTGGTTATTTTTTTCCTTTTTTAGCCTGGTGTTCCCGAAGAAGAGCAAGAACTCTGTGGTTGATCATACACCTAAGAAAATTACTGTAGTTGGACCGCCTCCGAGCAGGTAGGTCGGCCACGGCAGGTCGCACAATATACGGTGTGGAAGATACCTGCAACTGAAAGTTACCTTTCCCTAAAATGCTGTTTTGTGTTGTCTAATTATGGTTTCTGTTCTTTCTGATAGACTGGCATTGTACAGTACATATGTATGCACTATGCAGTATGCAGATTTTGCAGAATGCATTATTGTCAGAAATTTTATTCTGACGCACGTTTCCTTTTCCACACACATTTTACTATCCGCCTGTGACTGATCTGTTACCCTTTGTTGACACATAACTCGATATTGTCTGGCTCTGAACGCTCAGTGACTCTATTGCCCTCGTGACCGGCAGGCCAGCGCCCCTGTACCCCCAGCCGCTGCCTGACCAGCCCGCAGAGCGGTGCGACGCGCGCTGCAAGCTGCCCGACTGCTCGTGCGGCGGAACCGCCACTCCAGGTTTGTGGGTTCAAATCCAGGCCAGGGCAACATTTGCCTATCCACTTCCCAAAGCCGATGCCCCCGGCCGGAGGCCGGAATTGTGTCACAGGCTGTCGTATGACCCAGTTGGCACGGGCAGTGTCCACCTCAGATATACGTGGGCGGCTGACCCGTGCTCGCCCGGCTGTACTATCGGCCGTGCCCCGCTGGCGGAGAGCGGCAGGATTCGATGCCGACGGCGGCCCCCATCGAGCCAAAACAAACACCGTCTGTGTGGAGATAGACGGGGCAGTTGGCTACCGCCGAGCGGGCGCCGTCGATTTCCGACTGAAACTGCCGCCGGCTCACCAGTGTTTATCGTTGATGGGGGGGGGGGGGCAGACCCCACCATCCCGCTCCTGCCCCATCTGTCCTCTTTTATTTGCTCAGGCGTATGTATGTAAATGCCATGTAAACATGTGTACGATTGTATGTAAAATGTACATGCCTCATGTATGTTCGGCAGTCGACACCGTCCGCACAGCCTTCAGATCCACCCTTCCCTCATTGGTTACCTGTAAATGACGCATTTCAAAGGGGCTGGAAGTTTTTCCCCAAGTGATCGGGAGCTTTCTGAACGAGATTCGGCCTTTGGTCTGACCCTGCTGGCCGTTCTAGGAGGTCTGTATCCCGAGGAAATACCGCAACTCGTGCTGCTGACTTTCGACGACGCCGTCAGCGAAATTAACCGCCGACTGTATAAGGAGATGTTCGAGGAGGGCCGCAAGAACCCCAACGGGTGCCCGATCTCGGCCACATTCTATCTCTCCCACGAGTGGACCGACTACGCGCACGTGCAAAATCTGTGGGCCGACGGCCACGAGATCGCCTCGCACTCCGTATCGTAAGTCGGCCCGAGCGCCGCCTCCTGGACTGCCGAGGCGGTCCTGAACGCATGTGCATCTGGGCGTCCTGGACGCCGCTACGACCCCACCAAGATGGTGGAGAAAAGGCAACACCATCGCCTGTTGGTGTCTTGCCGAGATGTGCGCGCTTGGCGCCCTTCGAGCCTCCGTCCCTGCTTTACCTCATAGTGCCTGCCATTTCGAAGAGTTCTTTTGGTGGCATGGAACTTTGCCTCTAGTTTGTACCCGAACCTGGATGGTTAATCGTTCCCGTGCTTCCCTCGCACGATACTTCTCTTTGTTTGTCCGTCCGCTTACTTAAATTCTTACGTTTAATCTTTCCGGTTGCATGAATTGATAATTAGGCGTACCAATGTCTTAAGCATGATTCTCTCCTTAACACTTAAATGTTGAAATAAGTTGTACCTTGCTCATTTATTTGGCTCTAAATGAAACATTTCCTTTTATTATTTGTTTTCCAATGACATCCTAGGCGGCCAATCCAAATCCAGTCGGACAAATAGGACGCCCCTGTCATATCACGTTTGATTGATGTAGCACAAATAAGCATTTGGAAAAAGAAACTAATGGGCCAGTTCCATCGCGTACAAATATTTACTCCAACGTTTCGTGAAAACTGGAAGATGTTGATAGAGAAGAAGTGTTCCTGAATGCCGGATCATATGCCCATACTTCTTGGTCCGACCAAAAACAAAAGAGTCAGAAGTGATTGAAAACAAACCATCTGAAGTAAAAGAAAAAATGCGACGTGGTGAAGTCTGAAGAATGAAGATGCAACTGATTTGAATGTAATGGCGTGCGAGGAAGTGGAGTATCGTCACTATCATCACCAGCATCGGCATTTGACAAAGCGATTGCATCTGTCTTTGTTCTCACTTGTCATGATAAACACGCTATAGGATGATTTGATATTTGATGGCTTAACAAAATATAATTTTTCATTAGGTATATTTCTGTTGAAACGTTAATCTTTTCATGATTATTTCGCTTCTAACGTTTTTGTTTCTTTGCTTCCTGAACGTTTTCTATGAAACAGTTTCGCTTTCTGCTCTACCCGCGTTCTCCATGACTGTTTGTCCGTTTTCCGTCTGTCCGTCTGTCTGTCTTCCTGTTTTTTTTTTGTCTGTGCAGTCTCTTTTGAAGTACCACGTATCAGTGCGGTTGATAGATCAGGCCCGAGTGAGAGAGGGCTGCTAAATTTGAAGGTCATCGAACCAATTGACATCCTCATCCAACCCTCATGTCAATTGCTTCAGTGACTGTCAAATTTAGCAGCCCTTCCTCGGCCGGACTTGGTGGATCCACCGTACAAATGCGCGCCGTACTTTCAAGAGAGACTGTATGCCTTTCTGTGTGTCTGTCTGTCTGTCTGTCTGCATGTCTGTCTGTCTGCATGTCTGTTTGTCTGTCTGTCTATCTGAGACTCCACTGACGGGATGGCGGTCCATCCAGGCGACCTCGAGGCCAAGTCCACTCCTCAGCTGGTGCTGCTTACCTTTGACGACTCGATCAACGATATTAACCACGAGCTGTACAAGGAAATGTTTGAAACGGGACGCAAGAACCCCAACGGGTGCCCGATCTCGGCCACATTCTACGTATCGCACGAGTGGACCGACTACAGACAGGTGCAGAACCTGTGGGCAGATGGACACGAGATCGCGTCACACTCCATCAGGTGAGCGTCGCAGTCTCATGCACTCAGCCCAGCACACAGACGGCTGAACCGGTAGTCTGCATCGCGTCTTCGCGGACGTTACGTTTGGAGTGGGCTAAGATAGTTGCAGTATCTGGAGAGATGCTCTAATGGGACATCGACAACCGTTTCCTTGCCAACGCGATGGAAACACGACCTAAGAGATGAGCATTGCTGATGAAATAAAACAGTACAAATGCTTATCATATGTTTTTCAAATTAATAAATTGAGTAGATATCATCAGCTGAGCCTCAGATGCATGGCACGTAGTACGTACGATGAAACGGTGCGATCTCTAATCGCATGAACCTAAATTTCATTAGTTGTCTTGCGTAGATTTTGCATGGCCGTTCTTTACGGATAACCTTTTCTGAATGCCTGCTAAATGAACTATGATATAACTAATCGAAAGTGATATCTGTTAAAACATTAGCTCTATATTTGTTTTGAGAACACACAAATTTAAATAACGTTTTTTAGACCTTCGCCGGAAATATTGAAATAAATATTAATGTAGGCACTTAACTGGAATAAACTGAACTTCCCAACATTTTTTGAGTTCCGTGAATGTTTTGATTATGCATAAATCGCATCTTAAAAGTAACTACTAACCCTGTAGTTTCCAGCTTAAAATGTGGTAAGCTCAAATGTCTGACCTCACCCGTGCCGTTATCCAGTCACAGTTTTGGTGAGCAGTTCTCCACGTCTAAATGGGAGGCGGAGATCAACGGACAGCGCGAGATCATCTCCGCCTACGGAGGTGTGCCTGTCGAGGAGGTCCGCGGCATGCGCGCGCCCTTCCTCTCGGTGAGCACACAGCCCAGCCGCGTAGTACCGCAGGGTTCACATCTAGCTCCACTGGTATTCGTTCATCTGCCAAGCATAATGGTGTGAGGTTACACGTGCCGAATGAAGCGGCAGGTGGCGTGTTGTAAACGGGCCAACATAGCTGGTCATGTCCGTCAATGTTCCTCGTTTAGAGTGGCGATAGTATAGGATAGTGCTTGTCCATAAGGCATCCGATCGATTACTGCCGTGCCTGCATTGCATAATTCGCTTACAAAGACTATCACATGCATTTGAAAGATTCGGTGCAAGCAAGACGGCTGAACAATAACAATCAGGGTACAGCAACCAGCAGCCCAGGATGTTGACGGCTATTTTCGTCCTCAGATCGGCGGTAACCGCATGTTCAAGATGTTGTACAACAACAACTTCACATACGACTCGTCGATGCCAGTGTACGAGAACAACCCGCCCAGCTGGCCGTACACGCTCGACTACAAGATCCACCACGACTGCATGATCCCGCCCTGCCCCGGCAACTCCTACCCGGGTCAGTGGCTTCCTCAGGCAGTGCACGATCCTATGTTCTAAGTTTATATGTTACCATTGTTTCTCGTTGTTGTGTGCGAGCAGCTCTGAGTCTCTGGCCCTCTATCTGAGTTCTGACCGCTGTTCTTCGTGACAGGCGTGTGGGAGGTGCCCATGTCCATGTGGCAGGATCTCAACGGAGGACGGTGCTCCATGGTGGATGCCTGTACGGCCCCAGAGACGGCCGAGGAAGTCTACAAGATGATGATCAAGAACTTCGAGCGTCACTACACGTCCAACAGGTGAGCAGCGAGCAGTGTCAGTGGTTATTACCACTCTGGTTGTATGAAACAAGATAGCGTGCAGATGTCCACTGCCCAGTGTCCACTTACCTCATCAATGATTCTGATAAAATCCGTCGCACGTATGTCACTTATATATCCATCACGACTGGTTGTTGTCATCTCTTCCAGGGCCATCTTCCCGCTGTACTTCCACGCGGCCTGGATGACCACTGAGCACCATAAGGAGGGCTTCATGGCCTTCCTGGACACGTTGTCCAAGATGGACGACGTGTGGCTGGTAACCAGTTGGCAGGCCATCCAGTGGATGCGCGACCCTCAGCCGCTCAGCACCGTCAACAACTTCAAACCGTTCGCCTGCGACCACCCCGTAAGTGCGAGCTAGTGAGAAGCGTGTACCTACACAGGTCTTCAGCGTCACTTACTGCCAACAGTTGCCATTGTTGTACTTTGACGCATTGAAAATCTGTTGCATGCTGGAAAAAGTCGTGAACGATATTCCATGATAAGTAGCATATATAGCTCGATACCTCCCCAGCTAGTACAATAAGGTGTGGAGCTACGTTTTTCCTAAGTTGCTTAGTAGCTTCTTGCCTTTGGGGCCATTTGCTTCCATGACGCGTGCTTAATTGCTTCGCTTCTTTTGTGTTCAACTGGATCCTTGATTTCTTTCCTAACCCATTTGCCTCTCTGCTGCAGGAGCGTCAGCGATGCAACAAGGCAAAGAAGTGCAACTTGTGGCACAAGTCTGGGGTCCGATACATGAGCACGTGCCAGCCTTGTCCGGACAAATATCCCTGGACTGGAGCCACCGGCGTCAGCCAGTCCTGAGTCGGTTCTGAGTCTCGGTGCAGAGTCGATCCAAGTCAGACTGCAGGTGGAATTGCTGCTTTTACCTGCTGAGACATCAATGCCGGATCCGACTGGACACAGACCTATTTCAGGACAAAACTTCTTTCAATAATGTATATGCCGTTGCGACTTAGAGACTGTCGAAGCCCGGGTTCGTGAATGACATAGGACCAAAACGTCCTTGAGGGTTTTGACGTTTGACGAGTGCCACCGGTTTCCTGATCCAGCGTTCTTCGTCTGGGGGAGCAACCATTTTGCACAATGTACTGACGGAGGCTACACAACGGTGTCAATGTCATGAGCCTTCGCGCTTGCACGGCTCGAATGTCCAGCGCCGCCGGAAACGCAGTCCGGTCGCCGGATTGCGATTCTGCTGGTGCTGTACCTTGGAGAAATTTGCGAACAGGGCTATCGAGGGGCTCACCTTGTGTATGTGTGTTTGTGTGCCTTCCTCCCGCCGAAATTGAGACTGGTGTACTGTTTGCGAGGTTTAGTGCCAGACGGTGAACGCGACTTGGCATCGCTGTTGTTTGCGCTGGTCTCGCGGGCAGTCGAGGAAGGTATCAGGTTCTGCAGCGGGAGCTGGAGCAGGGCAACAAAACAGTCCGCGGCGTATTATTTTGACGCATTCGTTTATAATTCGCCAATGCCTTCCTTACATGACATGGCCTACGATTTTAACGCACGTCGCAGGCCAATTTTAATGCACTTGACAAGCTCTTCTTGACAAGTGACGTGGCTATTAGAGGCTGGACCTTGACAGTGGTCGAGTAAGTAATTCGCTTTAAATATGCACCAGGCGAGTTTTTGTCTGTAGCGACGAAAGCTATGATGCCGCAACGCCAAACTGTTTGAGGCCACAGCCCGGCGGTGGCCATAGTTTGTTCACCGGCTGCAGCTGCCAACCTGTGCACTGAGGAGTATTAGGGGAACTGAACACTGGAACTGAACGTTGCCCCCCGTCACAGGGGCTACAGACCGCGCGGTGTTCAAAGTTAGCGTGCCAATATTCGTGATACTGTCCACTCGAGACGGGACGGCGAGTGCAGGACGCTGTTGTTACCTGAGCCCGGGACGGCGTGACTCGTGCTCACGCCCTCGGGCCGTGGGTGGCGATCAGCGACATTACGAATGTGTGTGGCACGTCGGTAACGGAAACTCCGTTTCTATTACCTATCGACTTCACATGGTGTGTTGTGTAGAATAAAACGGAAATGTGTGTTCATCATTGTGTGCATATATTCTACAATAGTAGAATCGATTCTTGATCGAGGTATTGTAAATAAACCAGAATGATAGTGAATGTGTCTTTTAGATAATTTCGCCAGTTATGCTACCAAACCTCAAACTCGCCACGTTTGTTATGTCAATATGCCTGGTAATCATTCAGAAAATGTAACAAATATGCTGACACTCAGAGCGTAGAGTCTGTTGACTAGTCTCAGTATTGTATTATTATGCAGAAACATTTTGTTTAGCACCTCACAGAGAACGCAACCAAGTCTCACACAATGCACAAAATATCGTCCAAACAATAGCGACCGATAACCGTCCCTAATGTCAGCTAAAGCGCATGCATTGAATTATTTTAAACAAATAAGAAACAACCTACCAGCAGCATTGCACAGATTCTACATAATGTCATAAAGGCACAGCCTTCCAGCAGACGGGACGACCTCAGTACCGCGTTAGTGATACATTCATATATGAATCGTCGAAACATTATATATGCTCCACGCTGGATATTGATGTGCTTCTGTAGCTCTTCTCAGTTCTGCTAATCTCCGACCTAGGAGAAATGAAATAAACCGAATTCTCGCGATACAGGGACGACAGGCGCCTATTCGGTCTCCTCCACGGTCGGTCCCCCAGGCTGCTGTCCGCCGCCCTGCGCCAGCTTGGTCATGATCGGACGACACTTGTCCTCCAGCTCCTTGTACTGGTGCTCGAACTCGTCCTTCTCGGCCAGCGAGTTCTCGTCGAGCCACTTGAGCGTGGCGGCCACGGCGTCCTTCACCAGCTGACGGTCCGCGTCGCTGACCTTGGCGCCAGCCTCGTCCACAGCCTGGCGGACCGAGAACGCGTACGCCTCGAGACGGTTGCGTGCGGCGACACGCTCCCTCTGCTTCTCGTCCTCTTCGCGGTACTTCTCCGCCTCGGCAAGCATCCGCTCGATCTCGGCCTTGCTGAGACGGCCCTTGTCGTTGGTGATGGTGATCTTGTTGGTGCGTCCGGTGGACTTATCTTCGGCGGAGACATTCAGGATGCCGTTGGAGTCGACGTCAAAAGTGACCTCGATCTGGGGCACGCCGCGCGGCGCCGGCGGGATGCCGGTGAGCTCAAACTTTCCCAGCAGGTTGTTGTCCTTGGTCATGGCGCGTTCGCCTTCGTATACCTGAATGCTGACTGCCGGCTGGTTGTCGGAGTACGTGGTGAACGTCTGTTGCTGCTTGCACGGGATGCGACTGTTGCGCTCGATCAGCTTGGTCATGACGCCGCCGGCCGTCTCGATGCCGAGCGAGAGTGGCGCCACGTCCACCAGCAGCACGTCCTGGATGGCAGAGCTGGTGTCTCCAGACAGGATGGCTGCCTGCACGGCAGCACCGTACGCCACCGCCTCGTCCGGGTTGATGCTGAGGTTTAGCTGCTTACCGTTGAAGAAGTCCTGAAGAAGCTTCTGGATCTTGGGAATGCGTGTCGAGCCACCAACCATGACAATCTCGTGGATGGCAGACTTGTCCAGCTTGGCGTCCCGCAGCGATTTCTCTACTGGCTCCAGTGTGCTGCGGAAAAGCTCACTGTTCAGCTCTTCGAATCGCGCCCTCGTCACCTTGGTGTAGAAGTCGATGCCCTCAAAGAGTGCATCGATTTCGATGTTGGCCTCGGTGCTGCTGGAAAGGGTGCGTTTCGCCCGTTCACAGGCGGTACGCAGGCGACGAATGGCACGTGCGTTGCCCGACATGTCTTTTTTGTGCTTCCGCTTGAACTCTTGCACGAGATGGTCAACAAGCTTGTTATCAAAGTCCTCGCCGCCCAAGTGCGTGTCTCCAGCCGTTGACTTGACCTCAAACATGGAGCCGTCGGCGATGCTTAGGATGGAGACGTCGAACGTGCCGCCGCCCAGGTCATAGATGAGGACGTTCTTCTCGCCGCTGAGCTTCTTGTCGAGGCCGTAGGCGAGCGCGGCTGCTGTCGGCTCGTTGATGATGCGAATGACATTCAGACCGGTGATCATGCCGGCGTCCTTGGTGGCCTGGCGCTGGGAGTCGTTGAAATAGGCCGGCACCGTAATGACAGCGTCTTTGATGGACGTGCCAAGATACGCCTCGGCCGTCTCCTTCATCTTGGTCAGCACCATCGAGCTGATCTCTTCGGGCGTGAACCGCTTCATCTCTCCCTTGTACTCTACCTCAATCTTGGGTTTACCAGTCTCGTTGACGACCTTGAAAGGCCAGTTTTTCATATCCTGCTGGATCTTGGGGTCGTCGTAGCGCCGGCCGATGAGCCGCTTAGCGTCGAACACGGTGTTCTTGGGGTTCATGGCCACCTGTCCCTTGGCGGCGTCTCCGATCAGCCGCTCCGTGTCGGTGAAGCCCACGTAGCTGGGCGTGGTCCGGTTGCCCTGGTCGTTCGCGATGATCTCCACCTTGCCATGTTGAAACACTGCCACACATGAGTAAGTGGTGCCCAGGTCAATACCAATCGCCGTCGATTTTGCCATTTTGAAAGACTGTGCGTCGTTAGACTACTCAACTTTCAAGCTACCCGAAGCACGCTGCAGTACACACTCAGACGAAGGTAACACTCAGGTGCAGCTCACTGGACCTACTGACGCTCGTCGGTTTCAACAAGCGCTAGTTTATACCTCACCACCGTTTTGGAACAGTGACGTCCAGATTCTAGCAGGTTCATCGATGACGTACCGACTTATCCGATTTCTCATTGGCTGCCGTCCGGTGGGTGTGACGTCATCCTCCGACCGCCTGGATCTCAGGTGGCTATTTCTGTGCTCGACCGTTCGGTTGGGGATGGGTGGGCGTGCCAAGGGGTGTCCGTGCTGCGCTGAGTCAGACGGAGACGGAGCACACGTGAGTGACGTGGAATCTGGAAGCATCGACAAGACACCGCCGGTCGCTCGCCATATAGGGAAAATAAGCTTCCGCGCTACACCCCCTACATAGAACTGCCGCCGTCTTGCAACGTGCCCTGCGTTTGGTGATGAATATATTGATTGGATGCACTTGTCTTCGAAAACCTTATGATACTTCTTTTCATGCAATAAATAATGCAATATGATTGGACTGCCCTGTACTTTTAGAAACTTGATAGGTATACATATGCATGAAAGAACAGACCAGCTTCAGTTGTAATGCGGGATCTATATATTTTCTGCGTACGATATTCGGATTACGCATTTTCGAAATTGGCCATCAAGAGAGTGCAACTGGAGTGAGGAAAATGAGCTAATGGTCTGAAGTTTCGGATGCTGATGAAAACTGTGCTTTTATGACCGCATAAAAAAGGAATGTGCATCAAAAGCCGCCTTTTATTTTGAAAGACCAAACATTAGTGAAATAAATGCAGGTCTAATACATTTAATGCATGCAATGCATATAATACATTGTACATTGCGCTTAACATAGTGAAAGCAAGAGATACGTGCGGCTTGTGGCTCTACTATGTTTTCAATGGACAAGAAATTATCTATTTATTATGTTCCTACTAATTACTTCAGCTAAAGGCCAATGTCAACAAAACTTGCACGGAAAACTCATGTAGCTTGCAAATCAAGGCATATTGGCTGCATTTTCATTAGAAACGAATGTGTGCACTAAAGGAATGCGGTGTGCTGACGCTGTTCAAATTGTCCGGCGGGCTGGGGCTGGGTCAGCCTGGAGCCGTCTGCCGGCCCTACGGCTGGTGGAGCTAGACTCCGTAAACCAGGGGCGGGCACCTCGCGTCTGGACAGACTGGCCAGTCGCCGGCCGGCACCTCTCGCGGACGGGCCGCCGGTCCCAATCACAGAAGGTCTATCGGAGCGGCAGTCCCCTCCCTCGACAGTGACCATGTCCTGTGACCCGCTGCCGGTGATTGACCTCCGTCAGGCGGCCGGGCCGGGCCGCGCCCAGCTGGCCAGCCGACTCGTCGCCGCTCTGGAGACGGACGGCTTCTTCTACGTGGAAGGCATCGACGGCTACGACGAGCACGAGCTCATGTCGTACACCAGATGGTGAGGGAGGGCACGGAATGGATAAGAATTTCTAGGAGATTTCCCTGACTCACAATATGTTAGATATATGAAATATCGATAAGATTACGCGTTGGGATTGGTCTCTTTATTTTCTTTTTATTATCAATTGATTTCATGTGATCACTAGCCCTTAGCGGCCATAGCGCATACTCCATTTCACGTAATATACTGCACTTACGGGAAAATAGAAAAAGGGCTCTGCATAGTTTTGTACGTGTATTCAGCAAGCCTGTTGTGTACTTGCTTAGCCAGGGGCTCACTATACCTTCCGAATGGTCGGTCATAACTCATGGTCATAACACACCATTCCTCAGGTTCTTCAACCTACCAGATGATGTCAAGATGGGAATAGCTCGCAAGAAATTCAACGAAAAGACCAACTTCCTCTATCGTGGATATTTTCCCGTGGATAAAACAGACTCGTCTCACAAGGAAGGTAGGGAAATTGTGAAAAGTATTGATTTAACTAGAATGTTTGCATAACGTATCAAAATATTTACGATAAAATACCGATTGCTGTAATAACCCTCGCCTGAAATGGTGTTTTGCCAGCCGCGGGCGCATAAGGGGAGGGGGAGGGTCCGTTGGACACCCCTTGCCGTTTCGCCCCTGATCAAGCTAGAGCTTCGCGAAAAAAAACGAGCGTGTTGTCCGTGACAAGAAGAAGCGGTTGATATCCAATTTTAAGGTCCCAGGTCATTGGTTGACCTTCCAGATCAGGTCAATGACCCAAAAGTCGTGAAAATCGGGACCTGTTTGAACGTCCTACTCCTAAAGTGTGGTTGCAACGCGGTTTTTCGGGGCGCTGATGACGAATATCATTTGAGCTTTGATCACCGATGATGTCTATATACATTTAGGCCAGGTCTGGTCAGGTCAGGTCAACCAGTAGGGGTCCTGCTGGGTATTCGTAGTAGGTGCCAACCGCCTCTGACAGCTTCGTTACATGTTAAGAAGGCACCAGAACTATTTCGACAATGTGCAAATGGTTGCCAAATTCAAATTCAGCTCCAAAAACTAGCCTAGAAACATGCAAAGCTCGAAAAAGTGAACCGAGGTCATCAAATTTTGATATTGACCTGACCTGACCTTCAGGTGACCTTGACACACATACTGATTCAAATCACATGTTTGAACGCTTGAAACCACGAAAAGACTGCAAACGCGCGGCTAATGCGAGCCGAGATACGCCGAATCGCGATTCCGGCCAAACATGGTCTTGAATGGTAGGTCACAGGTCAAAGGTCATTTAGGTCAGGGTCATGAAAATTACAGGGCCGGTGTAAAATTGATTAACGCGAGGGTACTGAAAGATTCGTCGCGATCGACCGCTTTTTACGCGAGCAATTCGGGAAAAACCGAGGGGGTCCGTTCGACCCTCCCTCCCTATACGGGCGAAGGGTAAAACAATATATTAAAAGGCCACCTGAAAAGCATGTGCCAATGCATTTGTGTGCGAGCCAACATCAAGTAATAATATCGCGGCCCTAGGTGGCAGCACCGCAATTCAAGATTGCTCCGCGATTCAGTGCCTCGGATCTCGTTATACTGAGAGATAAGGCTCCCTGGTGCGTAATTATGTTGTCACTTTACTGAGCTACGCAGATATGTGACAGGCCACGGGACAGTCGTGTCATGAGTCCCGTCATTTTGAGTTTCCAGACCCCTTCCCACGCTCAGCTCCGTGGCATTGAGAAGCGACGTTCTTATATGAAACTTACCAACCAAATTAGATGGTTTATGCATAGCACCTTGTAAGTTGTAATTTAGTTGTATATGTTGTTAATTTACCAAACACTACCTATAATGATAAAGTTGACTACCTCTGACGGACAACGTGCCCATTGTGATTATTTGTATTATAGCTGCAAACACGGTTGCAGGATACGATCTGGCATCTTTGGAGCCACTTAGCGACCCAGAGAAGGTCAAAGGAAACATATTCTACGAGCCTACTCCCTGGCCTGAGACCAGCGACACTGAGGGACTGCGAAAGTTTCAGGTTCGTTCGGAACTTCAGCTTGAGTTTCTGCTTTAGCACTCCTTACAACAGTCTACTCAGTATCCTTATATGTTTCTACCACTTCATGATCTTGCAACGCCGTTTGTTAGGAGTTCAATGTACATTTCTGATGACTGCAGTGCCGTCTGTGCAGGATCTGTCATCAGTTCAGGGCGCGTCTCTGATGATTGTTCTGCCGTCCGCCAGGAGTTTAGTGTGCGGTTCTACGGTCTGATGACGGCCGCGGGTATGACGCTGCTGGAGCTGGCCGCCGAGGGCTGCGGCGCCCCCTCCGACAAACTGGTCAACCTGTTCCGGCCGGACCCGGTCTCCACGCTGCGCTACCTGCACTACCCGCCCCGGCAGGGCGACATCCCGGCCTCGGCCCGCGACCCCACAGACGGTGAGGATCTGAAGAAACCATCCACAATAGTTCGATGGAGACGCTGGATTTACAGTAGTCAATTTCGGCACTTGGTGCCTCGTGAACTGTTATGAACTTTATGAACTATTATGAGCTTTTTTAGCCTCGTTATATTTTTAGCAATCGTCCCAGTACCCAGCCTGGTCCGACCCTGACCGAGCTGACCCCCTGTTCGATCAGACGCCGTTCTGCTGTGCGCGGCGCACCACGACTCTGGCTTCGTCACCATGGTCTCGACGTTCGACTACGAGGGTCTGGAGCTGCAGCGCGCCGACGGCTCCTGGATGCCGGTGCCGTGCAGGAGCGGCGCCGTGGTCGTCAACATCGGCGACATGCTCTCCACCATCTCCGGCGGCAAGTGGAAGGCCACCAACCATCGCGTCATCGACCACGGCGTCAACAGGTCAGTTAGCGCCGGCAGCCGCTATGGTCGTTTTCTTCCAGAACATAATTATGGTTGTCGATTTGTATTTATTGAAACCGTCAACAGGCACAAAACCCAATAAAAGACGGAAATTGTTTTAGACAGGTGCATTCTTATACAATGATGCAGGTTCTCAGTAAAATTACTCGGCATTCGCACAGGTTCTCGACATCGCTCCTGGACATGTTGGCAGGTTCTCAGTGCCGTTCTTCCTGGAGCCGCGCTACACGGCCAACATGTCGGTGCGCCTGCCGTGCTCTGGTCAGGCGGAGCCGGCAGAGGTCAGCTACGGACCCTGGGCCATCACAAAGATGATCAACAACTTCTACGAGTTCAAGGACATTCCGTACCCCAAGTCGCTGGTGGCCGAATGAATCAGGCTTCAAGACGTAATGTGCTCCTTTGTTAGGTGAAAACTAAAGGGCCATTATGATGGACAGTGACGATGGAGTAACTATACAGGTGCAATATTAGGTACTTCCTTGTTGGAGGTAATCAGGTATTGGTAAATTATGTACATAAAGATATAAGTTGTTGACGGTTTGTCTGCAAATGGTAGTTCAATGAATTCAGAAGTTCTTACAAAGCATTTTGTGCTTTTACTGAGGCATACGAGTAGTAGCGTGCCACCATTGGTACTTTCTATCTTTCCTACTTCCTCGAATTTAGATTAGCTGCACCCAAGCGTAAGCAAAATACCAAAAATTTCAAAATGAATTAGTATTTATTT